AGGCTTCAAGTTGATTGAATACAATTCAAAGTGCCGCCCAGATTAATACAAAGTGCTCAGAAGGCACCAACTAATTTCTACTTGGTCTGTAGTCTCAGAAGGAAGGCAGCATGGATCTTATCCTCATGGTTATCGGGCGCCATGCCTGACGCAGATTTCCACGTTTATCATCACAGACAAACAGAACTCTGATGTACTTAACCCTTGTGCAGGTTTAAAGCAGAGTCATTTTCACCTGTGTGTGGGCGATGATGCGGACCACCTGGCAGTACTTCTTCATGGCAGCAAAGTCTTTCTCCAGCTGCTTCTTGCCATCATCGTCCTGCCATTTCTTGCAGTACTTAGTGTAGGCCTTCTTCTTGGACTTGTACCTGTTCCACAGCGGGACAGAAGCGTTTGGCAAAGGTCCTTCATGGTTCAAGACCAGAGGAAGGACACAGTGCAGCACTGCTCGCCCCCCTCCATCAGGACAAAGGGGCTTCATCAGCACAGGTTTTCGCTCATGGCGCGGTTTCTAAGAAGCACTTTCCACCGGCCAGAGGAGCGCGGAGCTCATCAGGGTACGAGACGCCTGAGAGGAGCTGCCACAGGGGCCACCGCTGTTAGACTCGCTCAGAAGAACTGGGCAACTAACTGCTCCAAAGCTAAAGTCTCTAAACTCACCAGTTCTGGTAGAAGCGGCGCTTGCACTCATCACTGATGTGCTCTGAGAAGATTGTCTTGAAGGTGCGGAGGCCTCTGGGAGTGTTCACGTAGCCCACAACTCCCACCACAATCATGGGAGGAGTTTCCACAATTGTCACAGCCTCCACTACCTCCTTCTTGTTCACCTCTGCAAGACAAAAGGTACTATGAGCACCCATTACTGTAGGACCAATTATAAAACATTTTACATGAAGCCTTTAGACTCTTCCAAAACCAATGCCAACTTTGTCAAATTGCTTAATACTGCGCTCAGTGCTCGACATTCAGCAAGGACCGGAGCCCATTCTGTCCGCCCGTCGAGAGTCTCATCACAGGCAGATGTGCAATAATGGAACTAACAAATCGCGAAACTACAACTGCTAATGGAGGTGCATCTTGGCAAGTGACCGACCTTTTAGTAATTTCAGTTGTACAGGTACATTCACATTCATTAACTTACTTGATCCGGGTCGGTCGACCTCACGCACGATGTGGGTCATGCCGGCTTTGTAGCCCAGGAATGCGGTCAGGTGGACTGGCTTGCTAGGGTCATCTTTGGGGAAACTCTTCGCCTTCCCCCTGTGACGACGACTCCTCTTGCGGGGCAAGAAGCCCAGGGACCCATGGCGGGGAGCCGAAAACTTACGGTGGGACTGAGGAAGGAGAAGAGACGAAGGTTAGTCAGTGAACCAACGAGTTAGAAGTCATGTCATTAGCAGCAGCAGCGTGAAACCAGAACGTTTGGATCTAGCAACTTGTTGAAATAGTACACTTCAATTGAATAGACTGCAGCTTACAAGTTGATTCTGTGCCATTGTCACCAACCATGTCCAGAATACAACTGCAGATTCTTATTCCATCTCCCAAGCTACAGGCACCGGCTGCCTGGAATATTTAACTAGAACAGCAATTTGTAGTTTAATTAACTTTAAACAAACATGAAATCAGGTTTTTCTGATGTTCTGTGTCATTTTATTATGGTGGCTACATAAATAGCCAGCTTTTAGACAATCACTAGTTCTCTGCATGAGGCCAAGAGGAAAGCGCCCATTAGCACTAGCCTCCAATGTTGCCTTAAATAGCTGGCCTCGTCAACACCTGTCTAAAGTCAACGTGAAGATTATTTTATTAACTGAAACAAAAACACAGCATTAACGTTGAGGCGTTTAGACTTTTACAAAAAGGTTAACTAATCATTTCCCAATGACCTAGCTCATAGCTGCGTGTCAAAGCGAGGCTTCTGTATTTAACCATGTCAGACTTCAAATACAATGTTCAATATGTGTAAAACTATAACTGGGACATGCTGTGTCTGCTGTAGGATGTAGATGTGTCGGATGGATGAGATAGAAGGTGGATTGTGGCGGTCGATGCAATGGATTCGCTGAAGGCTCTCACCATTTTGTCTCCAGTCCGGTGTGAAAGAGACCAGAGAGAGGGCGACAGAGGGTTTTATACAAACTGAACTATCGCGAGATCCAAGAAGGAGAGTTGGATTCTGCTGTACTGCATCAGACCACGAGATGTTTGACAGATATTTTGGACCAAAGGACATTTACAAACAAATTTAACCCCCCAGTAACCAAAAATATGAGTTAAAGTTCTCATTGAATCGGTCCGAGAACCCTTCAGAGAACAAATAAATGAATACGAAACAGCTGGACTGACTGTGAAGCTGGGGCTGCCTGTCTACATATTATACAGTCTATGATCTAAATAAATATAGACAGTCTATGATCTATATAAATATAGACAGTCTATGATCTACATAAATATAGACAGTCTATGATCTACATAAATATATACAGTCTATGATCTACATAAATATATACAGTCTATGATCTACATAAATATATACCGTCTATGATCTACATAAAGAAACTAAAAAGCTACGATTTCTTGGATTTCTAGAATTGCACTTTTTAACCATTCCTCTAGCTGAGCATATTCACTTGCTGCATCTATTTTTGTTATTAAATTTTTAATTCAGACACACAAAGAGTCCATATAAAACAAACACAACAAGAAAAGAGACAAACAACACACATACAGGGCTGGGCCTGGTTAGAGCTGTGATGGGAGACCTCTGGGAACACCACAGTACAGTGGGGCGGCTGCGACTCGATAGTGCCAAACTATTATTGTGTCCTTAGGCAAGACACTACTGGTGGGGGTCAGAGGGGCTGATGGCACATTCTGGTTGCCTCGCTTCTGTCAATATGCCCAAGGGCCTTCATGGCTACTGCAGTAGGATATCACCACTGTGTTTGGAGTGAATACATTATTAGATAACAATAATAATAATGCATCCTCTTTATATTTATTATTATTATCATACTTATTGGCCTAAAAATAGATTTAGGGTCCTGTAATAAAACAAAAATGTCTAGTTAGATTACATGTAAAAAGCATTTCCTTAAAATTGGTCATTTATCCCATAATGTTTGATCTGACAGGAAATCAGATGATATGATAATGATAAAGAGATGACCACTCTTGCTCAGCTAATCATTTACCCAAAGTATCAAATAGTGACTCTTAGGGCATGCGAAAGATTTTAAGTTTTCTTATACACCATGTTGTGGCCACTACAATAAAACATTCAATTTTCAATCATGTGAGACAAAGTGGATATGTAGTCGTAATATTTCCGCTTCGCCACCAGGTGTCGTCGTTTCCCACAACGGCCTCAGGAGTGAACACACGTCAACTTTGATTTCATGCCTTTTTTATTGGCACATAACAAGATAACAAACCATTGAATATTAAGGCAATGTGTTGTGATCCAGTGCTAGCAATAATTATCTTTCATTTGTGAATCATTTAAATTACACAACAAACACGAACAGTTCAACAAAATATATTCCCCAAACTCTATCTTTGTGCGTTTTTAATGGCTTTTTCCCTTTAACAGCCCCAGCTAAATGCCACCAATAGACTCAACTAACAAGTGGATTTTTGCTAACTTCTATGGATAAATATGTTAGTTGTAAGCGATGCAGTCACAAACAAAGCCCACATTTATCTGTAGCATCTTATCCTGGCCATTGTAATTGACATGCAAGAAGAGTATGACAGAAGAATTGTCCAGTGGTTCTCAAAATATGGTGCTAAGGCCTTTCCCGGGAGCTTGTCCAGGCCTGTTCAGCACCAAGTCCTATCAGTGAGCTCAAGTTCAACTATACTCATCAATAAACAAGATCCGTAAATCAATACAGGCTTGGAACTATGATGAGTATCATATTTTTGGGAAGCAGAGAATCTTCCACAAAGCCTCAGAGAGAAGAGATAATGGTGGCAACTGGTGAAGTCTATAAAATGATGGTGATACATTTGGCATAACAAAATAAACTTTTGCTGTATGTAAGTACACTACAACTATGTTATTACAGACAAGGCCCAAGATGAGACTAATTCAGGGTGACACACTTCGTGACATAAAGGTGGTCATGTCAATGCATCATATAGTGTTAACGTCACATGTATTTTTAAACTTTGCATTTGTAATTAACACATAGGTCCAGTTGTTAGAATAGGCAAATAAACTGATTCTCTAATCTGTTGTTGGCGAGATGACAAATGCTGTGATTTTGAGGTGTGCACTAATACATTGAATTGATTTGTAGATCTCAGTATTGGTTATGGTCCCATCATTATCTGCAAATAAGTATTTTCTTTTGCAATCTTTTAGTAATTGTCACATGTCTTAGACTCACTTAATACTCTCCACACAATATTTCCACACAACTACTTATAGACCTTGGTTTTGCACCTATTTTCTATCTCACATTGTATTTATTGTAAGCTGCTTCTGTAAACTCCATTCGCTGATGGGGACGTTGACATTTGAGAACCACTGGACTCTTGGGATGACGTGAATGTGTTTTCTTTGCTCAAACTGTTATTTAAATCCAGCACAAGCGTATAGTCCTCGAGTCAAATACTCACACAAACAACATTAAAAAGTATAAAAATGAAAAACAGTCTCTCCCACAGATACAGGCTTTTCTGTAGACGTTGTGTAGAAGCTGCTAGATTCAAGTCCATGAGGTGACATTACATTACCACACAAACAGCTTCCATGCTTGTCACGCAAACTGAAGACGCATTTTGGTATTTTTATGCCTTAGTTTCTTCCATTGACGATTTGTGCTCAAGTTTATCCACAGTTTTTCGTCTTTCGAAGCAGTCTCAATATTTGAACAATGACATTTTAAAATCGTTCTTCTTCATCTCTCTTCTCAAAAAGTATTTCTGTGAGAACTGATGTGAAATGTTTTGGTTCGAGTCTCGCAGTGCTCACAGCTGCGTAAGCTTCATGTGGCGAGTCGTGTTTGATCCAGGTTCATTTTCTGAAAGAAGGTTTTCCCAAATTCATACGAGCTGATCATCACAGCGCACGCCGGAGCTACTTTGATCACTCTCGGCAGGAAACCTGGAACAAGAGACGGAAAAGGTTTCAATGTTGTCTTTAAAAAGGCATGTAAAATAAATATAGTAAGTTTCATCTGGACCATGTGTCTGTTATAAAGTTTAATAATAAAAAAATAGAAATAAAACCCCATAGAAGAGCTTTGTATTCTCTTGATTGTATGAATGTATGTGATGAGTTTGGTAGATCAGAAAAAGCAAAAAAAAGTGCTTAAAGAAATTTCTCTCCATTGTTTTACAATACTTACAATTTTTTCACTTAAACATGATTTTGAGAATGTTTTACCTTCATGTTTTTCAATGTGAAATATTCAATGTGTGAGGTAGATAATATAGATGTGTAAATGGTTGTATAATCTAGTGGTACAAGTGGGGAAATCAATTCTGCTGCTGATAAATTAAATATAAGGTAAAAAGTTAGTCCCAAAACTAAATTAGAGGCGATACTTCTGTTATAAAAAGGCAGGTTTGTACAGATTTATTTGAAAAAGGAGTATTTGGACAGATGGAGAAGGGGGACTGTTGCTGATATTAGCGTGGATGGAGAAACATTTCCAGGTCTGTTTTTGACAATGTTGTAAAATGATTTAACACTTAAAAGAACCTCTTTGCATAAAATAGGTTCTTTATGACACATTTTACCGGTGGGAGAAGCAGCTCACGTCTTGCTTAACTTTAAATTGCGGACGTCCCACATAGTCTGATTTAAAATTCAATAATAACCCTAGAAGTTTGTAATGAGGATGACAAACCCGCGAAAAGGCCTCTGTATCCCACATTGGTCTGAATCTCCTTCATGATTTGCCAGGTGGATGACGTTCTCTTGGGAGCGACTGCAACAAAAAACAAAAATTAGAAAATATACAATGACCAATGATTCACCGTTCTGTGTTAAAAACTGAACAGACCTCCGAGCGAGTCCATCTCCCCGAGCTGAATCTGACGGTGAGTTTTTACCACGTCAAACGGCAACGTCAAAATAGCGGCGATCTGAAGAAAAAAAAAAGGATAAAAGTTTAAACCAGTGAGAGAAATGTAAAGTCTGTGATTTCTGTTTGTTTTTTTATCTAATGAAAACAGTTTAAGGAGCACTTTATATTATCCTTGTAGAGCAATTCATCCTTCGACCACAGCTGGAGCATTTTACTGTACATTTTAGTGTACATGGAAATCGGAGCACCTGGAGGAAACCTACGCAGGCACAGGGAGAACATGCAAACTCAGACCCTGTTCTGAACCGGGATTCCAACCCCTTCTAGCTGAGAAGCAAGAGTGCTATCCTTTCAACCACTGTGCCGCCCAATAATATTGAATTAAAGCTGGGGTACCTAACTTTCAAACCACACAATTTAACAAGTATAAAAAGGATGTGTTGAGTTCCTAGCGCCATCGAAATAGTTTGGTTCGATCGTCAACTTTAGATCAACTTTTTCAGACGGATAAAAGTGAAAAAGAGAGGACCGCCCTCACTCAGCTAAGACTTTTGTTAAGACAAATCACATGTTGTAAATTTCTCCCGTGTGAGATCAATAAAATCTAACTTATCTTATACACAAAACTATACAGTAATACAATAAATTACGCTACAAAACATAATCCAGTCTGCAGTTATTACTTTGATGTAAATAATTATGTGTTGTATATATCGTTTATATTGTGTCTAAGTGGGTAGGGTGGTTGTATTTTATTTGAATTTATTTATAAATTCTTTGCACACTGCGAACCTGCTACGGATGGGACGGCGGATGAAAATGATGTTGTAGCTATGTCCGGTCTGAGCAATACATTTATTGTGCAATGTGCTCATCAAACAAACATTAAATAAATCAATAAATATACTACAGATGACACATACACACGTTTTCTCTGTCCTGTAGAGTCTGTTTGTATGTCTGCACCTGCCTGCACAACGCTGCCCAACCATCCCCCTATCGCAGATTCACACAAATAGCAGGAACAAGCTTTATCTGTGAGTGAGACTGACCGCTCCAGACACGGCTCCGGAGGCGAAGCTGATGGAGAAGTTGGGGGGACTCCTGTATCTCTCGCACATCTCGGCTTTGACCAGCTCATAGTTGAACCAGTACAGGGCTGCAACACAAACCAGCATTTAGAACAGCGCAAAAGGACTACGACAAGTCTGTAAGTGCAAAGAGGAATCACAATGGTCTCCGAGGTGGGCGTCTACGGTAAGGTTTGCAGGTTATGGGTTCATTACTAAAGGCGTCATCCAGAATTCAGACCCCAGTGGCTGCAGCTGGTGGTTTGTGTGTTTGTTGTGTTATCAGCGTGGGGTAAGTGCGTTAGTTTTGGATGGACTACATTTAGCAGTGATGAGATTGCACACAGCTGGCTTGGAGCTCAAAGCACGATAACCTATTTGTGCTTCATCAGCAGACTTTATATGGTAGAGTTTTGTCATCTAGATTTATCACTGAATTCATGATTGACACAACATCAACAACACTGTCAATAACATGTAGTGAAATAACTATTAACAATACCATTTTAGTACTAATTTAGGGTTTATTGAGCAGTTTTATTGAGTTTTGTTCAGTTATTTTACACTAAAAGGCACTAGCAAACATTAGGAGACACCATAGACTCCATATTAAGGGAATGTGATGTCACCACTTTGAACTTTTACCAGAAGATGCCGATTTTAGCTGCTCTGAAAACTAAATTCTTACATAGCAGCCAAAAAACCAATCGGGAGCGAGAATGGCTTGATTCCTACTCGCACTATTCACTAGCCAAAGCCAAAATTTGGGAAAGAAGGCGCCTGATTGGTCAGTTATTAGTGGTCATATTATTATCTACAAAACCTGTATCAAAAGAATAACGCTGGGATCATAGAGTGGCAAAACACAAACATTTGAAACTAATACGGTGAGTCGGTTGGAGAGAAACAGGCATATTCATTTATGTTCAAAATATAGAGTAGTAAAATAAGGCTAAAGCTAGTTTTCTGGTTAGATCTACCATCTCTACAGTAGTCTTGGACCACAACAGAGATCATTTCGCAACAATATCATGGTCTGTTTGTGCTGTCCGGAAAAGTTACCTGAGAAGGGGACATCCCGGAGAACCGTGGGGCCCCAGCCTCTCCACAGCGACAGCAGCCCGTCCTGAGCCACAGCCGAGCGGATACACACCCTGAGCTCTCTGTAACTGAGGCGGCGAGACTGGAGCTTAGTGCGAACCAGCTCCAAAGGACTGATGACAGACACCGCGCCCACTGGAGAGAGAGAGAGAGAAAGACAAAGAGAGAGACAAAAAGGCACATTTTTAGTCAAGGAGAAACTGTGTTTTGGTTGTTCTTTCAACATACAGTTTACACTCTTGTTTACTCCTGATGGAGGTGGAAACTATTTTTGAATCAAACTGTTTAATTCACCCTTTTTAAAATCAGTGGATCCTTAACTCCCAAAATGACAAAGTTTATACACACCTACACACACCCACACACGGTATTAAAGGGTTGGGGAAAACTGAATTTCTCCAGGATCTGAATGTTTACGAGTTTGACATTTGTTGTGTTTGAAATTGTCCTGTTTGATTCTCAGATCTGAAGTTGGTGAATTAACAAGTTTGTAAAGTCCTTGGAGACGACTGCTGTTGTGCTTTAGGGCTATACAAAAACAAATTGAATTGTATTGAAGTGAATGGAGTTTTTCACACATTCTCAACAACAGAAGAAAGTTACAGCACTGGGAGTGTCTGAAGTGAGATATCAATTATGAAAATCCAACCAAGAAGTCAGACAAATACAATCAGAATTTTACATTAATTGGTGTGAAATAAATGTTTTTCACTGTAAAATCTATTCAATTTCAGATTACATTTAAATCTATTCTATTCCAATATTAAAAGTGTACATAGTCCGACACAGAGCTCCAAAGAGGATCTGTACACTTAGGGTGTATTCAGAGCTGCACATTTGCTCCACTTTAAACGAACCAGGATTCGTTTAGAACTCTGATCCGAATCTTTTATGCAGGTCTGAATACACACAAACGAATCCTGGTCCGGACCAAAGAACCGAACCGAGACCCACTTTTTGAGGTGGTCTCGGTCCGCTTCCAAACGAATTCTGGTCCAAGTCGAATCAGGTCTGAATACATCCGGTGTCGATCCGACACAACTACAAGATACGTGCGCATTTTTGGGCTTAACAAGCCGCAGACAGAAACTGAGGAATTAGCCATGCAGCGGCTGACTATGCTGCTAACTATGATGCTAACTATGATGCTAACTATGATGCTAACTATGATGCTAACGCTACACAACAACACTGAGCCGTGTGCAGACCTGGAGCAGTGAGGAGACGCTGTGCAACAGGCTTATGGAGTTAAAACTGTTCACAGTATACAGGGATGTCAATGGCAGCATCTTCAAACCATTTGCATTATTAAAAGCCTGACACTGTTTGACTCACGTCTCAAAGAGCAATATCCCACTATCATGTAGTGAATTGTGTTCTTTGGTTCCTACCTGATCCTCAGCGTCTGTTTGTCCCGTGGTTATTATAGATCCATGGTTTATCCACATGCTGCTGTCAGTAAGTTGTGGAACAGGGCCGTTATTATCATAGATCCATGTGTGGGACAGGGTTATTATCATAGATCCATGTGTGGGACAGAGTTATTATCATAGATCCATGTGTGGGACAGGGTTATTATCATAGATCCATGTGTGGGACAGGGTTATTATCATAGATCCATGTGTGGGACAGAGTTATTATCATAGATCCATGTGTGGGACAGGGTTATTATCATAGATCCATGTGTGGGACAGGGTTATTATCATAGATCCATGTGTGGGACAGAGTTATTATCATAGATCCATGTGTGGGACAGGGTTATTATCATAGATCCATGTGTGGGACAGAGTTATTATCATAGATCCATGTGTGGGACAGGGTTATTATCATAGATCCATGTGTGGGACAGAGTTATTATCATAGATCCATGTGTGGGACAGGGTTATTATCATAGATCCATGTGTGGGACAGGGTTATTATCATAGATCCATGTGTGGGACAGGGTTATTATCATAGATCCATGTGTGGGACAGAGTTATTATCATAGATCCATGTGTGGGACAGGGTTATTATCATAGATCCATGTGTGGGACAGGGTTATTATCATAGATCCATGTGTGGGACAGGGCACGGAGCGCACAGACAGTCTCCTTCGGCTTTCTCCTCACGCATTCTCCGACGCTGTTCCAATATTTAAAACAACGTGTTTTGCCTGTGTCATATGAGCTGCTGTTGATGTTGAAGGTGGTTTTGGTCTAAAAAGAGCAAACAGAGGCAGAGCAGACATGCTGCACATACGAGCCCTCTGTTTTCCTCCGGTTTCGCGTCTATTCTCCATGAGCTCTCGCCGTCCAATAGGAGCGCCGATCGTCACACGTGTCAATATGTTTATATAAAAAAGTTCACTTGCAAAAAGGACAGTCTGAATACGAACCGGAGCAAAAGAAAAAAGTTTGGTCCGCTTTTGATTCGGATCAAGCAAGCGGAGCAAAGGACTTTTCAGGTCTGAATACACCCTTAGATGCACAACAGGTTATTATTTCCACCACAAATACAGACAAATGTACAGAAGTCTTTGTGCTTACGTCTGGCGAGGGCTCCGGCCACCAGGGGGACGTAGCTGCCCTGGAAGCCCAGGCCAAAGCGGAGGAAGTCACGGAGCTGGTCGTAACAGGTGAAGTAGATGACTGTCGCAGGGACGGCCATCACTCTGCGACACAGGACACAAAAAACAGGTTAAGGGAGGTCTAATGTCTACACTTTAAGGTCGTTTGATGAATGAATTAATGAATTAACACTTTATTTCGAGCACGGCAGACAAGAACAAAGAACAACAAAACACAATACATTTACAGTACGTTCTGTTTCATTAACAAAAAGTCAGCTCAAAAAGGAGTGGGAAGAAGATAAGACAAGTTTGATGTCGACTAAAAACATAGACAGTGTTTTGATATGGATGAATCTAGGCAGGAATATTCCACAGAAACTGGCAAAAAACAAGACCATGAACAAGTCCAAACAAAGACTAACTCGGATAAATTTAAAGTTTAAATTCACCCTTTTCTCCAAAACCATTCCACAACTTCGCTATAACTTAGAACCATATTATCTATTATTGACCAACAGACAGTAAATTCAATGTTTAATTTGACTTGACTCTCTAACAACTGTATAAGAAGAACCCAAGACAACACAACGCCAACTTCAAATCCAGACAAAAAGATAATATTACCCACCTGAATGTTTGTGCCATTTTTCTATCAACTTTTCACACCTTTGACCAGTTTATAGTTCTTTTTCTGGTACACCCGGTTTGTAGAGTGGTTCATAGGGGTTTGAGTTCAGATAAATATTACAATTGTGAATGTACAAAATAATGTATCTACTTTTTCTGATTGCTTTGTAAATATCTGTTACGTGAGCTGTGTTTTTATTGTGTGATGTATGTGTTTCTGGCTCTCCCCTATATTCTGTGTTTTACTGCATTTTATTATTGTATAATTTTAGGAAGACTGTCCAGCGACTGCAGATGAAGAATATCCTACTTGGCTAATTCTAGTGCATTTTGACATGTACATTAATGCACAATGTCCCTGTCAAATGAACCAATACAATAAATAATGATCCACACGTGTCATAGATTAACAGTCGATCGCAGAAGCATCGGACATCTCCTTTAATCTCACACTTACAGAGTTGGAGGCAGTCCGCTCCACAGAGACCGCAGTCCTTCGGAACGGGTGATTTTCACAAACGCATCCTAGGCGCATGAGAACAACACCGTTATGCAGCGCACTATGGACGAAGAGATCAACGGTTTGCCAGGAGTATGGACTCACCAGGGTGCCAGTGAAATGAGTGGGCGTCTTGTACCAGCTGCTGCAGTGGGAGCCGTTTTCACAGACGTAGATGTGGTCCATGAGGCCGTTACAATACAAGAAACACTTCCCTGTCGACGCAAAAAAAGAATATAAGGGTTTAGCACAACAGAAAAACTGATTTCATTGTTTTGTTTAGGTCCAGTCTGGGTTAGGAATGCGTTAAGCCTAGCGTACATCGACAGAGTAACTGGAGACAACTAGTTGCAAGGCGGCTTTTGGCAACTGATGGGAGATGATCAGTTGCCGAAATCAGTCGATGTGAGCGCTCTTACAACTGGAGATAAACAGTCGATCTCCGGATTCTGTCAGTTGCCCGTGTTCTACTTTTCGGCAACTAGTTGTACTCAGATCCGGAGATATCACCAGATGTGCGCGCTCCAACAACATGTGTGTATTGTGTGTATTGCGCGCCCTCAACAGTTTATGCCAGAAAACACACTGTAGTTGAGGCCAGTTGCTGTCTATGTACGCGCTGTTATTCCCGAGACTGGCCTGCTTCTAGGAGTTGCCCGTTTTCGTCAGATTGTCGATGTGTGCGGGGCAGCAACTCATATGCGACGGATATAATCAGTTGCCAGTCCAATGTACGCTAGGCATTACAACCAGCAGTTTTGATGACAAGTTTGGAGAAAAGTCACTTGGTTTAGCCTCTGCTGTTGTCCCATTAAGAGTTGGTAATCAAATAAGCAGATGTTTATATGTATAATTTTTTCTGCCACTGTGGGACAAATAAAGGTTTTCTTATCTGGTGTTATCCTGCTGTACTCTCTGTGCTTTGTGTAGGAGTGCCAACACAAGCCTCTCCAGTGACTGACTTTTGAGCCAAAAACTTGAATTAAATAAGTTCAATGACCACAGATGTTATCGGAGTCTGTTTAGCTGTGATCAGGGCTGTAAATATTGAGAGGTCTCTGTATCTTCCTAGAATGTCTAAATATAAAGCAATTGCACACAAGAAGTTTGACTTTCGCTTTTCTCTGGTCATGCATGAAAAAGACAAGCCGTTTCCCCTTTCTGAATCTGAATCTATAAAATATTTATCTGGACTCTATTTGGGAGTTAGTAAGTTCCATGAAAGGCAAACACAAACGTGAAGCAGCCATTTTCTCTTCTTTTTTTTTTCCTTTTTAAAGAGATACTCACACTTAGACGGACGAAGGACTCGACTCCACGCAGCGGAGTCCGAGGCCAAAGCTGAGGCACAGAGCAAACAGCACAGTGTAAGTGAAGCCGTTAGTGTACAATAATATGCAAAAGTGGACACAGGGCTGGAGAATAAAGGAAACCTCTTTTAGCATGAACGAAGAAAACACTAGAAAAAAGAAAAATGCTTGAAAAACACCAGTAGAGAAAAAGTCTGCACTGGTTTACTTTCCAAATAACTTGCTCTTGATGGTAAATTATCACATAGAAAATAACCGACCCATAGTCATTTGTAGGCATCAAGAGAGAAACTTGTGTGTAACAAAAACGCAATGTCTCAATTTCTTTCAATTATCAAAACAAACTCTAAAACTACATTTACCATTGTTTGCTAGCATTAGCTTGTGAAACTTAAAATGGCGGCTTTTTACGACTGATGTTGAGTTGTTAGAGGTTAGTTTAAAGCTGGGGTACCGACATTTTCAAACCACAAAAGTATTAACATCGATCCAACTAGTTCCTTGCTCTTATAACAGTTTGGTCTCATTATTATCACATGTTTGTATATTTTAGCCTCAAATCTTTAGACCTGTTTTTCTTTTAAACAAGAACATGAAAAAGAGAGGACCACTCTTGCTCAGTCCATTAAACTTTAACCCAAAGCATCAAACACTGACCTACAAAGTCTGATGATGTATTCACAATGTGTAACTTTCACAACATTCATTCTGTTAAGACAAACCGTTTACCTTTGTGGAAGGGCGTCTGCTGAGCCTGAAGGCGGATCTTCACAACGTCCAGCGGTGTGACTGAAAAACAAGGAATTTAAAATAAATCTTAAAGGTGTGAAGAAGATGACAAAGTCTGGGATCGTGTCTTTCAATTCAGACAGAAGACATGTTTTATTGTTGATGGTAGACGCAATCTACCATCAACAATAAAAGTCCTCCAATCGGCAGCTGCCAGTGTGCTTGTAGCGTCAACCTTGAGTTAACCAAAACAAGGGGAAAGTACTGGCTTCTGAATATGTTAGAATGATGTGTTAGAACTTTAACCACAGTTGCTTCAAAGTGTCGTGAAATCACTACAGGTGTTTTAGGTGAAATGTGAAATTGTCTCCTCTCCAATCAACTCTAGTCTTAGTCCCATCACAGGGTGCTTTTTCCAATTTAAAATTCCAAACTTTTTCCAGACTTTTTTAAAACTGATATTTTTTTTCCCCCAAGAACTTACCTTTATGTACTTATATACCTGTGTACTTACTGCCTACTTTATTGGTTGAGATTGTACCAACTGTTTTTATTAGAAATGTTAATATCTTCAACCATAAACATTTTCCCCCATACTTTATTAAGACTTTCACCGCAAGCGCCCTGCCATCATTAAGTAACCAAGTATACCGCAAATATAATGAAAGTACGAATGTTTTTACTCCATTAAGCGGCCGGAGTGGAATCAGCTCAAATATGAAATACAGTTCTGCAAACACCCACATGTTCATGAAAAAGTCAAAGCAACAACAACACAATAATATGGATGGAGAAGATAAATATTAAACAAAGACAATCCTAATTTTAAAAGAAAAAACAGTTGGATGCTTTAGTCCTTTAACAAATTTCCTTTCTAATTGTAAATGATTAAGAAAGGTTTTTTTTCTTCCATCAGCTCCTTTTAATTTCTGTGACAAGACCTGTTTGCACATTTCCTGTTTTTTGCACATCCTGAGTGATCCTATTTATGCCAAATGTGACATGTACATTTCTCCATTGTGAGATCAATAAAGTCTAACATATCTTATCTTACAATTGTTTGAAATGTAAAAGTAATATGTGGTGTATTGTCAAATTCACTTTTGAAATAGACAAACAAACACTCAAAAGCCTTAAAAACCGGTTTGTGGATCTTACCCATGATGGAGGTGAGGAGAGCCCCAGTGCCAGAGGCCAGCATCTGTTGCACTGGAGAGATGGAGGCCGCAGCTCGAGCCGTTCGGTCCGCCATATTTACTATCCCGATGTTCCCTTCTGTTCAACCTCCTCAAGCCTCTCCCTCCGCCTCCAACCTGGCAACAACAACAACAACATCATCATCATCAAAGTGCCTGGCAACATGTTGAAAACCAAAACATCTCATCTGTCTGATCCGTGGCTGGGTTCAATACGAGTCAAACTGTCGAGCCAACACAAAACCAGGAGACTTTGCATTAGACAAGATAAAACAATGAAGAAATGTCATTTTCTCCATTGTGAGATCAATAAAGTTTTACATTTGGCTTCAATAAGATGACTCAGGGCAAGCAAATAGACAGGAAATATGCAAATACTAAAAAAGTAAAAAAAAATATATATATATATAAATATATAGATAGGGCTTTTCATGCAGGTCAGGTTTCTTACTTTTGTGGCTACTTTTTTCCCACTGGGTTTTAGAGTTGTTACTTGCCGATGCAGGCAGGTCTAAGGACAGTGGTGACGATCAGGGACATTTAACAACATTTCTGCACATTTATTAACACTTATGACTATTGGTGAGCCGCCCCTCATTGGGCAATGGGTCTGTGTATTTTTTTGATCATTGCATTTCCTGTGCTTGAACAGTTTGATTCTCTGATCTGTGTTGGCGAATCGAACGCTTTGTAAAGTCCTCTGCAATAACTAAAGTTGTGATTAAAGGCTATACAAAAATAAATGTAATTGATGTACACAAGACATATCTTTGTACAAATGTAGAAAAAGTAACATTGGAAGGATGAGAGTGTAAAGCTTCACAGCCTCTGGTCAGATGTGCATATCCAGAACCTTACAGAACTGTTGGAATAAATGCTTTAGAGTACTGGAGTAACTGGAGTAATCATCAGATTTTACTCTTTGCATGCCACATTACATGATGAGCAGAATTAAAAGTATTTTTTAAGTTGAGATGTGAAACCCACTGAAGCAGCTGCCACCTTGCATAGATCTGCATCAACTGTAGAGAGCCGCTTTTGGTCATGTGACATCCATGGACATTGTTCCAGTGAGTGGTCAGGAGGGTGAGATTGTCAAACACAGCTGTAGTTTTGAACTACTCTCGGTGTTCTCATGGTCCCCCTCACATGTCTCTGAGGTAAAGGAGGGAGAGAGGAGTGGCTACGCTGAACTATCCGGATCCAGGGTCTGAGTTGCATCTTCCAGTAAACCCGAGGTTTAGAATTTCACCTCCTACATTAGACATAAGCTGCACTTGTCAAGGCCAACCTGGCAACAACAACAATGCATCATGGTTCTCAAAGTAATACAAATCTAAAAACTTACTTTATATACTCAGTTTCTTCATCAAGCCTAACATTTATATGATTTTGTATCAGTAAAGAGTTGTGCTATATAGATTGACCTGGAAAGGTATTACTCAACATATTCACCCTCATCACACCCATTATGGTGCAATTTAGCACGGTGTGACATCACCGTGCTAAATTGCACCATAACCTAACAGTAAAAACTAGAGACACACAAATAGATTTTCATGAATACAATATGTAAGTAAAAAAAAGTTGGAGTTTTCTACATTTGCACATTTTTTCCCCCTCAATTTACAGCTAACTCATTGCATTGTTTAGGGCGGCATCGTCACTTCGTAAAAGTAAAGAAACTGACACCAACAATACGCTTAAAGTTCCCCTAACAGGTGTGACGTTAGACGTGACCAGGCCGTTTGTTGTGGTGAGGGATTGACAAAAACTAGAAGCAGATTGGTTTTGTGCAACCCCATCGCACTCGAGGGCATTGTCACAAAGAACAGGCGGGGTTGTGTAAACTGGGGACATTAGCTTATCTATACAGTACACAAGTCCAATCGCACACACCAGAGGCCCGTCCGACAAACTAGGGCTAAAGACAGACAGATAAAGGGAAGAAGAAAGTAGGACAGGTTGATTATGTTAAAAAAAAACAACAACAAAACAGGAAATTATCATTAGCTATTTTAAATATTAGTGTAATGAGTGTGAAATAGTGAAATGACAAAGACATTCATATTTTCATTCAATTAAATGCTATCTAATGAATTGTTGAATCAAATTAGAATGCTGGCACAATTCATTTAATGAGGTCTAACAAATGTTATAATTAGTCCGACAATTAAGTGCGGAAAAAAGCGCATACACATTTAGTGTTTTCAATCATTTTTGCACTAATATTGTATTGAGTGTAATACATGCCCTGAAATAGGCTTGTGCTTACACAGTCCATAGTATTTTTATACAGTGGCATGTGTGTGTGCTTGGGGGTTGGAATGGAATAAACATTTTCAGCCATGTGCTCGTTATTTGTCTGTTACAATAATATACGTGAACATCTAAAAACATAGATGTGCTGAATGTATACCGCTAAAAATACAATTTATCAAAATGTTATATTTTATGTAATAACTGCTTATTTCTGAGATTTTGAATTTCAATAAGGTGACAGAGGCTTATAACAGAGAGAAAATCTAAATTTGAGAAAAGCGTTGTTGCGAGAGAACAATGCATTCCTGAAGATATGTGGTATTGTTTCAGTCCAACCTGTTCTATGCAGCAGTGCGTATGACTACATTGGAGTTTTAAGTCTGACATCGAGTGTTGTTCTGATTTTATGATTGTTTTACCTCATCTGTCTTTGATGCTTTGTAAAATAATAATAATAATTATATATTCATTTATTGATTGACCACCCGGAAGTAGAAAATCCTCATATGCCTTGAAGAAAAAATACTATTATTATTAATTAGGTATGAACTCTATATAAGCGGTTGTTACATAGTTGCCCAATCTTAATGTTATGTGTCCTCTTATGCGTTCGTCTTCTGCAGCTGACATTGATCTACGCAGCCATAACAACGTAGCTAACATTAAAACCTATTGATTTCACGTTTCTCATAGTTATCAAACAATAAAAGGAAAAGACTGGGCTGAAATCTACGGGTGATCTCAGACTAGTTGTTTACCTCACAGTAATGCTCTGTAACAAGGCTGTCCATGAAAATACACGGTACACACTGTTCTTTTGTTGTTTTTCACATAACAAGAAGCGTGATCGCAGACACAAACGAGATGTGAGTACAGAAATATTGTGAAACATTGCATATACGCTGAAAAATCATGATATTTTCTCCTTATTAGTCCCAAATAAACATCTGATGCCCGCATTGCAGCAGACTGTACACACGCACGAGGAATGGCTAGCTGTAGCATTGTGTTAGCATGTGATGGCTAGCTTCACAACTCACCCTTACTTTAGCTTTAGCTGCAAATCTCCACAACAAGCTCCCATTTCAAGTCTGAAACGGAGCAAGGAAGCTGCATTTGTGGAGGACAATCAACTCCCTCTTTGATGCCCCTCGTTCTCTGGCCTGTCCATTGCGTTGATAAGCCGTAAACATGTTGTGGACTCAAGGGTAAGCAACGTGAATGCAGATGGAAGTTTTTGGCGCCCTCTGCTGGTCAAAATATAACGGTGCGAACATGTGTTGTAATCATAGACTGTAAATATGTTATAATCACCATCTCGCTATTTTTGCAAGCTTGAATAAAAAGCTTGTTTAATTACTAGAAATACCCTTTACAACTTGGGTCATCTAGCGCTATATGGTGCATTTGGTTGAGGACATTGGTAAAGTTTGGCAAAACGTGCGTAGTACCATGCTGTTACGTGAGTGACCTACGTGGTCTACGTGGTACTTGCCAAATTCCTCCTAAACAAAGAAAAAGGACCAAGCATTGTTGAGTCAAATTCAATGCATCCTCCTTGTAGAAGTTTGTATGAGCACACGTAGGCAAGGTTTATTTGTATGGCAGAGTTCATACACAACTCAAAATAGTTAAGAAATATTAATATGCACCAGAAGGTCAGTTCCTTTGTTCTTCAGTGCTCCTCAGAGTCCTGGACATGGACGAGAAATGTCCTTTCTTTTACCCTATGGCTTTAAATGATATTAAACCCAATGTTAAAAAATTTGTTAGTTTGTTAAACAAAATTCAAATTCAACATATGTGCTGCACAATAATTCTCAAATATGATAATATTGTGACAAAGTAATGGATTTTGGAAATGGTTAAATTAAAGAGAAACCAGCTCAAATTGTTAGAATGATTTACAATTGGAGCCTTTTCAGAAGCTTGACTTACAACATTTACAGATAAAGTCAGTAATAATTTCTCACCACAATAGCAACACGTTCTTGCTTGAAATAAGAAAATTATGTAATCAGTCAATCAGTTGTAACTAAAGTAAACATGCTCAAAAAGAGACAGCAATAAATGAGGAAATTCAGTGAGTTTAGTCATGATTGTAAAATGATCTGGAAAACATTTCATTTACTTACTGGGCGGAATGCAAAATCCACTCCTTGCCACATAATGATAATGGATTACTTTAAACCTGAGGAAATTGCCAATTACTTTGTATTTTATTGTTATAGTAATGATCAAAGATTGAAAGCTGACATGTGTGCTGGAGAGTCTGTATCCTCTTCATGGACGAAAACGGTGTATTTTTTTTTTTGTTTTTGCTCGAGAGATGTCAAATTCTGCACTTTGAGCCTTAATTTCACCCCCTGAACATGTGTGAAAAGTTATCAGACCTGGCAAAAAATTTGATATTTTAATGTTTATTTATATGGGACTCAAAAAATGCCAGAACAGCGCCACCTACAACAGCCAAAATAATACCCCTATGGGACTTTTGGAGATCAAGTTTGTCATAGAGCCATGCAATTTGGTACACATGTTCAAGACAAGAAAAAAATATTATGGCCCCGCCCTCTGACAAACAGGAAGCCCATAAACTTCACTGCAAAATGGAAAAATTAACAGCAAACGTTTTCATACATGTCGGTTGGAAAGCGGCGACTCCTCGGCCGTTCCACCGATTCACCTCAAAATTGCTCCACATCATCTCAATGAATCTGTCAGGGATGAAGCAGACAGACGGATCGCGGCGCGCCAAACTCTGGAAGTTTATTTAAGTTTCTCTCAAGTTCCA